CACCCGCGAGAACTCCCGGTCCCGACCTCCGGTTCTCTCACACAGAGACGTCACCACTGAACATAGTGCCATCCGCGAGACTCAAATGGGATAGGCTGTGCACTTTCCACGCGACCACCTTTTTTTTTCGTGCTCGGTGCATACACCTACAGTATTGTCTTCTGATAGATCTATACCGCTAATCATAACACAGCCCAAATGTAAGGTCCTATTTGAGCATAAAGCTCATTTGCACAATGCAATCGCTGGCCACACGCACTCTTCTTCCACAATGCGCCGTGCTGTACCAGATGGTTCGCAGGTGTTTCGGTGCACTGACAGTGCGCGGGCGGGTTTTGCCTACTCCCGCTGCCGTAAGGCGCCATGGCCCCTGTGACTATGCAAACCCGCCCGCCCCTTCGCGTGCACCGAAACACCCGGTAGAATACTCTGCTTTCTCCCGAAAGTTAACCCACCACCCACAGCCCACAGCGAGAGGTCTCAATTTTCACCCGGCACCCGCGTCTTCTCTGTAGCCACGATTCGAGGGTGAAAGTGCCGGCCGAGACCTCCAGCACCACCACCCCGTCCGCAACGAACGACCTCGATTTGACGTCTCTGAAGACGCGATGCCCATGGATATCGACATCAATTCGGCATCGTCTCCACCACTTGTCACCCACAGTTTGCCTATACGATTTGCAGTCGCTTCGCTCGCAGGGTACGTGACCGGCCATCACCCGAGCGTGCCCTGGGGCTCCGTCCGGCGCTGCTGCTCAGGGTGACACAGAGACAGTGCCCTCTGCCCGTCGCATGTTCAAAACCACTTTCTCTTTTTATCTTTCCCTTTCAGCCGCCCCCTCGCCAGTATGTATTTTCAAGGGCCGGCGGTGACGTCACAGGGCCGCCCTGAGCACGCCCTAATCCCCTGCTGCAGTCCGCTCACGAGACGCGCGCGAGGCGCTGGCTGCTGAGGCGAGGGCGGGCTCTCCGCCCCCACCGCCCGCTCACCTGCCTTCCTTGATCTCTCTCTCTCTCTCTCTCTCTCTCTCTCTCTCTCTCTCTCTCTCTCTCTGGCCCCCTTCTCCCCTAAGGGTCACTTTCCTCCCTCCTATAGAATACTGTAATCCCATTACCTTGTTTTGGTTTACCCCAAGGGTTGAGCGGCTCCCGACCGGTCCTGAGCGCCAGAGAATGGCACCCGGGCCGCCCAGCATCGCCCCGTGCATGTCCAGACACGCAGAGGACCCCGACGACGACCTCGCCGTCGGTGGGCGACCTGGCCGGAACCGGTGACAACCTGCGGCG